TAGACCAATGGAATACAATAGAGAACTCAGAACTGAACCCACAAATGTATGGTCAACTAATCTTTGACAAAGCGGGAAAGAGTATCCAATAGAAAAAAAACAGCCTCTTTAACAGATGGTGCTGGGAGAACTGGACAGCAACATGCAGAAGAATGAAACTAGATCATTTTCTCACACCATATACCAAAACAAACTCAAAATGGATAAAGGACCTGAATGTGAGACAGGAAACCATCAAAACTCTAGAAGAGAAAGCAGGAAGATACCTCCTTGACCTCAACTGCAGCAATTTCTTACTTGACACATCCCCAAAGGCAAGGGAATCAAGAGCAAAAATGAACTACTGGGACCTTACAAGATAAAAAGCTTCTGCAGGGCAAAGGAAACAGTCCATAAAACTAATAGGCAACCAACAGAATGGGAAAAGATAGTTGCAAATGACACATCAGATAAAGGGCTAGTATCCAAAATCTATAAGGAACTCATCAAACTCCACACCCAAAAAACAAATAATACAGTGAAGAAATGGGCAGAAGATATGAACAGACACTTCTCCAAAGAGGACATCCAGATGGCCAATAGTTAAATTTTTATATACAGCGTGAGATGAGGGTCATGTTTTTTTTTTCTTTGACATAAGGATATCACATTATTCTAGGACCATTTAGTGAAAAGACTCTCCTATCTCTATTGAACAGAGTCTATTGGGTCCTTTGTCGAAAATTAACTGATGTACATGTGTGCTCTACTTCTGGACTCATTTATTATGTTTCATTGATGTAGATGTCTAAGTTGCCAACAATACCACAGTGTCTTTATTACTGTAGCTTTATAATAATTCTTAAAATGAGGTAGTCCTGAAACTTTGTTCTGCTTCCCAAAATTGATTTGGCTGTTTCTGGTCTACTATATTTCCATTTCAATTTTAGAACAACCTTGTCAATTTCAATTAAAAAAAAAAGAGAGAAAAATGAAAAAAGCTTTTTGGGATTTTGACTGGGGTTGCTTTGAATCCACAGAACAATTTGGGGAGAACTTACACCTTTGGATGTATACATATGGTACATTTTTCCATATATGCAGTTGTACTTCAATTTCTCTCAAGAACATTTTGTAGTTTTCATTGAACATGTCTGGCACACATTAACTTCAATTTTTCAAGCATTTTTTTATGTTTTGCATGAATATAATTTTCTACAGCTTTTTGGAAATAAGATTTGACATACAATAAACCAAATCTATTTGAAGTGCAGAACTTGATATGTGTAATTTGGTAAGTATACATCTATAAACACCAGTGAAATCATCATCCCAGTTAAGATGATGAACATACCCATAACCCCTAAAAACTTGTTTGCCCCTTTGTTATTCTGCCTCTCACCCTTCACAGCTTGACTCTCCCCACTCCTAAGTGTGGCAACCACTGATCTTTCAATCACTACAAATTAGTTTGCATTTTCTAGAATTCTATGTCAATGTAATCATAATATATGTTCTTTTTCATCTTGCTGCATTCCGTCAGCATAATTATTATTAAATACATCCATGGTATTGTATGTCTCCATAGCTCATTCACATTTATTACTAAGTGGTATTCTATCGAATGGATAAACCATGATTATTCATTCAAATTAGATCGACGTTCCATGTTTTTCTTTCAGTTTACAGCTATTACAAATAAAAACTGCTATGAATACTGGTGTACAAGTATTTGTTTCTACATGTGCTCCTATTTATCTAGGGTAAATCTCTATATGAAGAATGGGGGCGGGGGGGAGTGGTCACATGGTAAGCGTATGCTTAGTATTTGAAACTCCAAACTGTTTTCCAAAATAGCTGGGTCCAGACTGTGGATCACGGTGGAAAGACACGCAGTCCACAGTACCTTGTTCCATAACTCTCCCCTGCATGCTGGTGATAAAGGTTTGTTTATTCATCAAATACTACTGAGTAACCAGTGAATGGAACAAACTGGGTCAGACAGAGAGAAATATCAATGAACAAGACAGCCATAGTTCCTGCCCTTGTGGGGCCTACATTCTAGAAGAAAAGCAGACATTAAACAATATACTTCACAATTAATTATTTGTTTACAAAGAAGTAGAGCGCTCTGAACCTAACCTCCCTGAAAGCTTCTCTGAGATAGCAACAATTGAGCTGAGTGCTGAAGGATGAGTAGCAATTAACAAGATAGATATAATCCAAACGCACTGCGCTAAGCACAAGAAAGTAGCTCTGGGTTCCAATGTAACTCCCCTAGGACACAAATTTTTGTTAACGGATTTATTTATTCATTTAATCAGTCAGGCTTGCTCCCAATTCCTTCATGAAGTAATCCTGGGCTTTGGCATAAAAAACAGGATTCAGGAGCCCCATCATCTTCTGTATTTTGACTCAACACAAAAGTAGGTACCCTCTCTAGAGCAGAAATGTCCCCAGAAGAATGGAAACAACAACCTTTTCCATGAACCACAGCGCATCATGAGTGGGATGATAGGAAGAACTGCAGGAGCCGCCAACATGGTATCGTGTAAGTGCGGAGTGTGCTGCCCACCACACAGCGGGAGCAGTCCCTAAGCATCTTCCTTCCATGTGGTAGACACTACGGAATTTTCTATGTACACAGTAACCTAAGGAAGCAGATACTCATACTACCACTTTAGATAGGAAATAACATCCAGAGAGATTAAGTAACTTGTCCATGGTCATTAACTGGTCAGTGAAAGATCAGGAATTCGGGCCCAGAGCTATCCTAACTTTGCCCATTATATTAATTACGATGAGAGAAACAACTTTTACAAAGTCACCCTAAAGCACCAATGGTAGGGGTGCCTGAGAAACCTGTTTGTTTGCCTTAGCATCAAGATAACTCTGGGAGAGACAGTGATATGTTCATGGCTCTTTGTACTACTTTCGTGAACCCACAGTCTCTAACAGGGTAAAAACCCTGGAAGATAGCATAGTGTAGACAAACTTAAATTCCAACTCTTCCACTCATTAGCTGTGTGACTGTAGACGAGTTATCTAACTTTCTTAGTCTTAGTAAAGAATGAGAAAAGCAGTAACTGTCTTACAGGTTTGGGAAAAGATCATAAGTAATGTAAGAACACCCAGATCATTCACTGGAATACAGAGGGTAGTTATGAAAGTTCACCTTCTACGGCATCTAGAGAAGATTCAGATTAATGTAGAGGAGGCGTTTTCCTGCCTGCCACTCCTCCGATAGGCAGGTATTTCCTTCAAGGTGATGTGGAATCCAACACAGGTCATCATAGGAAAGAGCAGAAGAGGCTTGAAACAAACTCAAGGTTGAAAGAAATCCCAGGCTTCAATATACATGAGATCTTAAGGTTTCAACTCCAGATCAAAAGGAATACATTTAGTCTACCTTTCTTTCTTTTTTTAGAGAGAGAACATGAGTGTGGGATGGGGAAAGGGAAAGAGAGACTCTAAAGCACGCTCCACTCCGCGACCGTGAGATCACGACCTGAGCCAAAATCAAGAGTAGGGCGCTCAACCGACTGAGTCGCCCAGGTGCCCCAAGTCTACCTTTCTTCACTAGACTTCATTTAGCCCAGCTGAAAATATTGAAGAGGAAACATTCTGTCCATCTTGGCTATATCATTCTAAATGTTCCTTTTTATCCACCTCCCTTTACCACAAAAAACCCACAGGAATATAGTCTGAAGCCACTATATGCAACAAAGAGAGAAAACATTGGGAAAAAAAACCTGGTCTTTTTTGCCATGAGTTGGCTAGAGAAACAAGTAGGTAATTTGTTTTTTTAAAAAAATGGGAATGAGAGTGTGTTAAAAATCATCTAATATCCTAGATGTGATCATGTAAAAGGCATCTCTGTGAATGAGAATAAACCCAAAAAGATGATGTTTTATTAGCCAGTCTCACACCTTTCACTGGCCAATAACTATACTGAGTGTGTCGCACACCAGCCTAGTTCACAATTTCTTTTACACTCAAATGGAGCTACATATACTTTAAAAAAAAAACACACACACACACACACAAAACTTGAGCTTTTAATTTTTGGTGGTGGTGACGGTTAGGCAGATTCTTATTTCTTCCTCTTCAATTCCACTTTTAGCTTCAGGGTTAGAAAAATAAACTTCTATAATAAATATAGATTACGTAATATATATTCATTTAATAGAATCTGAGTACCAAACATGGCTTCATATAATAGAACCTCAACTTCAGCAAACCCCGAGTCAACTCTAATGGGCAGGACAGGCAGGACGGGCAGAGGGGACAGAGTGCACCACTTGCCCTGCATCGCCGTGGCTAACTGACATACACTCTGTTTCGCTTCAGCCCGATGTGGCCGTCACACCCCCGCACGGCAGGCCTCTGCCTGCCGCCGTCCTGCGTCTCACGCACATCCTCCCTGACAGAGCTCATCAATTTCGATTGCTTTTCACCAGGCCTCGGCTCCGGCACTTTCCCCTGGGGAGACCTTTACTGGTCTCCATACTTAACCCTTGAACCCAGCCTAATCCATCAGCTGCACTGAATGGACGGTGATAGAGCATGCTTCTCCCTAAAGACAGGCAGCCAACCCCTGCACTTAAACCTCAGAGAGAAAGCCATCAACAGGGTCTGCTTTCTGTTTGTCAGTGTCCCAGTGTCTTGGCTCACTGGCGTTTTTATTGTTGCCGCGCCCAGCTGCTGAGTCAGGGGAAGTGCTATTCAAGGAGACATCAATTAAGTGCTTGTTAAATGCTATAGATGCTCTTTTGAAAATATCTCCTGGGACTCTCCCTGGGAGTTCCCAAAACTAGTGGAGGGCAAAGCTGTCATTCTAAAATAGGGTTTCCCCAGAGTCTGGAAGAACAGCTTCATAACCCACGCTCTTACATACTCTCTCCTAGGGTATAGAAACTATGACTTTAGAGCATGAAATCTAATACTCTTCGTTAGGAAAAATAAGCAATGTTAGGAAAGAAATATTCGCCGTGTAGACAGACCATCTGAAACCTCCTTACCTCATAACCGAACTGCAGCTCATCGGAGGTCAGCATGATGATATCGTCATCGATAGCCAGGACAGCCTCCGTCTCGATTTCGTCGTAAGGGAAGAAACGGTTACTCAATTTGTTTTCAGCAGTCCTCACAACTTTTAGTGGAACCCGGATTTTGGGCCAGAGAGAGTCTGGGGGGAAAGAAAACAAGGCACGTATTACTCTTCTAACCTCTGTGAGGAAGACAGTGGAAAAAGCACCGCATCACAAATGCCACGGAACTTCCACAGCTCCCATTCAATCCACACGTACAGTTGTCCAAGGGGGAGCACTGATAGATGCCCCGTTAGACAATATGTAAGTGCTCTGTCCTCTCCAGGCCCGCACCCCCCTCATCCTCAGTGCTCTCTTAACCAGAATGCACAAACGGCTTCCACTCACAACTGAGAGACAGAAAAGCAGAGACTTGCCCCAGATCACAACAACACGAGGAGGCATCGAGGCCGCTCTGTCTCATTCTCGGGCCCAGGGTTGAATACCGGAAGTCCTCCAGCTCCCTCAAATATCTCCGGTACACCCCAGCTCAAAGCGTGCCTCTGCTCTGCCAGCAGATACAAGCACGCACTCCAGGTGTTGGCCCTGATGTGCCAGCCTCCGCGGTGCAGCCGCAAACAGAGATCAGTGCTGCTAAAATCCACCCCTCAAAACAGTCTCACTGAACGATGTAGGCTTCTTAACTTAGCACTTCATCCCCTCAACCGCCCCTTCGCTCTGATTCACTAGGTTTGCTTTCTCATCATGACCAATTTACAGAGTAAATATCAAATTTCTAGATCCAATTATGTGGGATTTTCTAGTATACTGAAGAAACACCAATCCATGACTGGCCTTACGTTTTTTCCCAGTCTGCTCTGAAATGACTGAAGCAATTGAACCACGGGTTCCTTATTTTAAAATGGTGCATTTAGCACAGCATGAAATTAGTATGTCTTTGGAAGAGCACTCTTGTCCACAGACCTGGGGGTTCTTTACAGAGGGTAGTCTGTTCTTCACACAACGTTTGTCAAACGACAACAGGAAAGCTAGGTATCACACTGCTTCCACAGACTCCATCGCGTAATTGTGGAAAGATCTAGCCTGCGTGGGTCTTGAAGCTCCAGATGCCTGTGGCCACTCCCAAGTCACCATGCTAAAGAGAAGTACGGTGAGGGCCTCACTGAGGTATATTTTATAGGGTATCCATGTCACACGTTGTTGGGACGCTACCGGCGGCCTGGAAGAAGCCTGTGCAAGTGAAGGTCCTGTAATTAAGGAAGGCATTCGACCTTAAATAAGCACAGAGCCTAAAAAGTGGTCAACTCCAAAAGAAGCATGTTTGGGAAAAGACTGAACTAAACTCTAAAGAAACGATCCTATGGGCCACTGCCTTTTAATCCATAATAGTAGCTAATTACGGTTTCATTCTTGGTGCAGAAGCACAGAATAAATGCCTGTGGAATATGTGGATGGGCATAGGACTGGAGAGACTGAAGACCTGAGTCCTGCATCACCTACAGGGTGTCAGGCAACTCCTCATTTCCTTCTAAGAAAAAGCAGGGATCGGAGGGGGGCACCTTTATTAAGCAACTAGTATATGCCACACACTTTGTAGATGCAACATCATCCAATCCTCCTGACAACCCCATGGAGCAGAAATTATTTACAAAGTAGTAGCAGTAGTTGCAAGGCTCGCTGAGATTAAGTGATTTGGCAGGAGTTACAGAGCTAATAAATGAGAAGGCCTGTGACTGAATCTAAGTCTGTTTCGCATCAAAAACCAAATAGAATGTGGACCATCTATTGCAGCTTGAACGCCTCATGCTTGTCTAGATCTGGGACAAAACAATGAAGTTCAATGTTTTCTCCAGCAGTTATCCTTATTTTTGTTTGCATCCCACTCCCTCTTCCAGATACATAAAACCTTGGCATAAATCTACTGTCGAAATCCTTATAAAACGTGACTCGTAACATCTAAAATACAAGAGGTTATAGCCCTACCTACTAGACCACCGGTTCTCAAATTTTTTGGTGTCAGGATTCCTACAGCCTCTTAAAAATTGTTGAGAATCCTGGGGTGGGGGTCGGGGGAGGGTGGAAATGGGTGACGGGCACTGAGGAGGGCACATGTTGGGATGAGCACTGGGTGTTGTATGTAAGCGATGTATCAGGGGAATCCACTCCTGAAGCCCAGAGCACACCGTATATACTATATGTTAGCTAACTTGACAATAAGTTATATTATAAAAAAATAGATATATCGTTGAGAACCCCAAAGCAGCTTTCTTTATATGGGGTTACACACACACACACACACACACACACACACTTTATTTATTTGAGAGATTAAAACTGGGGAAATTTAAAACACAAGAACACACAAGCACACATTCCACTAGCCATTAGAGGGATGTTATCCCATGTTACACAGCCTCTGCAAAACCCCTCTGTCACTTACTGAAAGAATTAAGCATGGGAAAGGGAGGTGACTTAGGTGACTTACTATTATTATGAAGACAAATTCAGCCTCCCAGACCCCCTGCAAGACTCTCCTGGAGGTCCAGGGGTCCCTGGACCACACTTTGCAAGCTTTTGTGTTTAGATTTGGGTATCATAACATGGGGAAAGTTCCAACAAACTGGAAAACAGTTTGGGCAGAGTGACAAGGACAGTGCAGGCACGTGAATCCAGGATTTCTAGGGAATGTTTAAAGAAACCAACTGTGCCAGCTGTCTGTGTATTGCCCCTAGCCCCAATGTCACCCTTCATCACCCTGTTTCTCATACTAGAACTAGATCCCGTACACATTTCCCTTTTGCCAACTGGCTTGATGTTAGGCTTTGTCCGTAGAGGCTGCTGGAGGGACACTTGGGAGGGAAGGGGGCCTTTCTTCTGGGTCTCGGTGTGTCTCTTTAACTTTTGCTCCTTTGGTTCTTGGCCAGAAGGCAGATAGGCAGCGGCACTTCTCCCCAGCAAGTGTAGGTGGCACCTCCAAGGGGCAGCTTCCCGACAGGTTCCGCAGAGACCCCCCGAGAGCAACTCAGCTCAGGGCCCCCCATGGGTGGTTCCAGGGAAGCTCACTGAAGCTCTCAACAGTTTCTTAGCAAGTTCAAGAACATACCCTGGGTAGCTTCCTATTGAATTCTGCAGGTACCAAAGGGAGCGGTGGGTTCCTTATCACTACAGACTGGGCCTGTGCACCCCCGCACACTTCTCTATGTGGTGGGCTATGGTCACATGCTCGCCAACCGGGTGTGAATGTCACAGTCACCTGGGGAAGGGGTCCCTGTTGTCTTCACAGTTTTTACTTCTTAGTCACCAGTCACCTGCTACTAGTTAATAATTCTTTATATTAAACTTTTCCTGTTCAGGTTACTGTGTGGTTCTGTTTCCTACCTAGGCCTTGACTGACACATTAGGCTATCAGGAGGGGTCTCAGAAAGGGCACTTGTTCTCCTTGGCCTCTAAAGTTAGAACCATGACCAGTAGCTGTGTGAAAGTCGCAGGGAAACGGATTGGGCTCAAAATAGGTAAGAATCCTCTGATGGCAGAAACGGTTTTAGATAAAATGAAACGCCTTCAGCAATCCAATGTGCCCTTTTACCTGAAATGTACTGACTTAGGTCATATTTCTACTTGACATCATATGAGAAACCAAATAAGATGTTCTAAGGTCTAGGATTGCATAAGGCAGTGATATATCATAGAAAGAACAGTTTCTGGGGGACACCTGGGAGGCTCAGTCAGTTGAGCATCTAACTCTTGATTTTGGCTCAGGTCATGATCCCAGCCAGGGTCATGGGATTGAACCCTGTGTTCACCTGGAGACTGCTTGGGATTCTCTCTCTCTCTCTCTCTCTCTTTCTCTGTGCCTCTCCCACTTGCACATGCTTTCTCTCGAAAAGAAAAGAAGAGAAAAAAGAAAAGAAAAGAGAAAAGAAAAGAGAAAGGAAAAGAGAAAGGAGAGGGAAGGGAAGGGAAGGGACGGGACGGGACGGGACGGGACGGGACGGGACGGGACGGGAAGGGAAGGGAAGGGAAGGGAAGGGAAGGGAAGAGAAGGGAAGGGAAGGGAAGGGAAGGGAAAAAAAGGGAAGGGAAGGGAAGGAAAAAGAAAAAAAGAACAGTCTTTGGGAAGAGTTTCAATTCCCAGGTGTACTCCTTACTAGCCACGTGTTCCTGAACAAGCCAATCGCGTTCAACCTGCTTCTTCAACTACGAAGAACATAACACTATCTTCCCATCAGGGACTGTGAGAATGAGCACGAAGGCACTTAGCAGCACAGCGCCTGGCACATGGCAGATATCCAGTAAATGTCAGCTGCGCCTTCCTTTGAACATTTGTGTCTATTTACAGAATCAAAGGACTTCTTCTGAACCTTAGGGGTGGCAAAGTGACATATGTTAGACCTGGTATATGACTCTGGAAATCCAGTGGCATCACCCAGCTTGTACCTTCCATGTCCACTTTTATTAATGTTTTTAAGTTTAGTTATTTTTTAAAATAGTTTATTGTCAAGTTTGTTTCCATATAACATCCAGTGCTCATCCCCACAAGTGGCCTCCTCCATGCCCATCACCTCCCTTCCCCTCCCCCCCCACCCCCATCAGCCCTCAGTTTGTTCTCAGCATTCAAGAGTCTCTCATGGTTTGCCTCCCTCCCTCTCCCCAACTATTTTTCCCCTTCTCCTCCCCCATGGTCCTCCATTAAGTTCTTCCTAATCCCCCTATACGTGCAAACATACGGTATCTGTCCTTCTCTGCCTGACTTATTTCACTCAGCATAACACCCTCTAGTTCCATCACATTGCTACACATGGCCAGATTTCATTCTTTCTCATTGCCATGTAGTATTCCATGGTATAGATAAACCACATCTTCTTGACCCGTTTGTCAGTTGATG